AAATAGAACACAGTTTTTGAGGGTGGTGGGCTTCCTGTTAACACACCCTTCTCAGGTTGTGGCTGATGCACTTGGTCACAGCCAAGTGCCATGAAAAGAAAATGAGTTTATTTTATGAGTAGGTGGATTTTATTTTATATTTTGTTTTTTGAAAAATGAAAGATACATGAGCTGTCAAAAGTGGAATAGTGGAAATTAGAAAAAAGGAAAAGAAAAATGAGGCAAAAGCTATTCTAGTAGCTTTCTTCTTTTTTGTTCTAACCAGAAGAATCAAACTCAAAATATTTAAATTGAGAAATTTCTTTTATCATAAAAATCAGTTATCCAAAAATGAACTAAGGCATGATGTGACTTAGGGAACTTTGTAACACTGGAGTTTTAGTGCAAACTAAAAGATCCTCTGCTGCTGTATGGCCATATTGTACGGCATAGAGTAGGTCCATGATGACGATTTGTTAAATGAGAAATATAGGTATGTTATAGAAAGAGTGAGGAGTTGGGTTTGACTAGTCTTTCTAAAATAATGTTGTACAAGATGATGACCAATACCCTTTGAAAAGAATGTTCTATTGTCATATCATCTTGTGAACTCCAGTGTTAGACTCTGACAGATTCCTTTATTGATAGATCACAAAAAGATTTAATATATATATTATATTGTATGTATGTGAATGTCCAAGAGGAGATATATAGAGACAACAAATCTTGGGCCATAAAACAACTTTTGACAAGACATTGCCTGGGAAATAATTTCTTAGAATGTTGGTTTGGGAAACACATGTCTAAATTTGTTTTTTAATCCTTCTCTTAGTTTTTAAAAATGTTTTTAAAGAGATGGGTGTTATATGACCATATGCTTCTACTAAACTTCGTAGTTCTAGCCACTTTTTTTCTGGATATTATAGTTGTTTTATAAAATGTATCCGCTAGTTAGTGAAAAAATAATTCTCCTTAACTTTATAATGTCTTGCTTGTTTCACTCACAAAATTGAGGTCTCATTCACTCACAGAAATAAGTATGACTTTCTTTGAATAGTTTTCTAATACAAAATCATTATCCTTTAGGAACCTTTCCAAGAATCGTTACATGGAGAAACAACCTCTCTCACAATGTCTAAAAACTGTTTCCAAATATATGCAGATGATTTTCCTACTTAAACATAGTTTTGTGGTCAAAAAGAGTGTTCACTGTCGTTGGACAAAATGAATTGAGACAAATTTTGAGTATTCCTCTCTCCAAATTAAAGAAGTCTTAGTATTTCTAGGCAAACACCATAAAAACTGCCTGTATTAACAGAGAAAAGAGCTCATTTCTTGAACATTATTTTTCAAAACTTCACCTCATGTTTTAACAACCCCAGATGACTTATGTTCCTGGCTTTCTTATTTGTTGCTTGGCTTTCGATACCTGAATTCAGAGAAATGAAAGATGGAAAAACCCCCAACAGGTCACCCAGTTCATTTCTTTAAAGAAAAAGACAGATGAATCTCATAATGTATTCCCTAACATCAACTTAATTGACGATAGGTCAAGGGTAAAATTTCTAAATCAGAAAAATTGGGATAAATTCAACCCTAGGATGCTTATTTTAATTTCCCCCATGTTCATGAATTGGAATTTTATTTTTTTATTTCTTCAAAAGTAAAACAAAAGGCTCATCACCATTCATTATATATCTCCTTCATCCTTACTTCCACCCACTACCTTTATCACCTCTGGTAACCTCATTTGATTTTCAGTGTCCACTAGTTTATTTATATCTTGTTTTGTACATTTATCCACTTAGTTTCCTTATATTACATAGATAGGTGGAATCATTCTATATTTGTTTTTATTTTTATGATCAATTTGTTTCATACAATCCCCTAGAGTTCTTTCCAATTTGCTACAGATGGTAACATTTCACCTTTCATAGCCAAATAATATGCCATTATATATACATACCATGTTTTCTTTATCCAGTTATCTTTCTTTAGACACTTAGTTTGCTTCTGTGTCTTAGCTATTGTGAATGCTATAGTCACCATTGTAATAGATACATGTCAAGTTCCCAACTTCATATTCTGTGGATCGATACCCAGAATTAGGAATGCTAGATGGTATGGTAGATCTGTTTCTAGGTTTTTGAGGAAGGTCCATAACTCTTTCCAAAATTAATGCACCAACTTACATTTCAGCCAAAAATGATAAAGGCTCCTCTTTTTTTCATATCCTCACCAACAGCTGTTGGCAATACAGTCTTTTTGATGTGAGCCATTCCACAGGTTTTGATTTGCATTTTCCTAGTAAGAAGTTGATAAAAAACATTTTTGCGAATGTCTCTTGGCCATCTTCTAATGGAAAATTTGTGGGTTTTTTATTGTAGTTCAACTGAATGAGTTCTTTAATCACAGTGGATATTAACTACTTATTGGATGTGCAAATTATCTTCTCCCATTCAATAGACTATTATTTTAGTCTGTGTTATTTTATTTCACTAAACAGAGGCTTTTTAAATTTAATGCAGTAAACTTTGCTTTTGCTTTCCTTTTCCTTGTTATTAGGTTCAAGTTCCCCAAGATATCTTTCTTGCCTATATTTTCTGCTATGTATTTAATGATTTTACTTTTTACATCCAATTTTTTTTTAAAGATTTATTTATTTGTGCATACAGAACTGGGGTACAGGCCAGAGGCTCAGGGGCGGCGAGAGGCTTCACCGGAGACAGAGTGGGGAACAGGACAGGCAGATTGATGAAGTACACTGCTGAGGGGAGCAGTGGGCGGGTCAGGAGAGGTCTGCCACGCCATGTGGTCACCTCCGGGGCAGGCGGGAATCCAACCATGTGGAAGTAAGTGGCTTTAGCTTGTTAGTGCAATGCTTTAACCTGCTGCGCCACCAGGGAGGGCCATTATATCCAAATTTTTAAGCCATGTTGAATTTATTTTTGTGTGTGGAGTTAGAGAATTATCAACTTTTATTCTTTTACATGTTGCTGTCCAGTCTTTCCAGCACCATGTGTTGATGAGATTTTCCTTTTTTCACTGTATGATTATGGTACTGTTGTCACAATTTAGGTGTTTCTATATACATGGACTTATTTCTTGACCCTGCATTCTATTCCATTGGTCTGTCTCTCTTTACTACAGTGCCATACTGTTGTAATTACTGTTATTTTGCAGTAGTACAGTTTGAAGTTGAATAACAATGATGCCCCATTTTTTCTTAAAAAGTATCATTGGAATTTTTATGAGAATTGCATTGAACATGTATATTGTTTTGTTTGAATATATTGATTTTACCTATCCATGAACCTGGGATATCTTTTCATCTCTGTGTCTTGTATATTTTTTACATTCATGGTTTCATTTTATTGCTCTTTTACCCCCTTTGTTAAATTTATCATTAGATTTTCTTTTTGAAGCAGTTGTAGGTGGAGTTGTTTTCTTGATTTTTTTTTTCTTCTTGCTCATTATTTGCATGTAGAAACGCAACAGCTTTGTTATTAATTTTGTAAACCGATGAACATGTTCAATTACCACTGTCAGGAAAAATGACCCCATTACTTTCTAACTGATCTCTTGGCATGAAGAGCCTAAAGTGACTAGGTAGCATCTAGAACTAAGATAGTACTCTCCCAGCATCCTGTGCAAGACTCAAAGAGCTTTCCAAGCCCAAGATGTTAGTGTTGTAGGGAAGAAAAACATGAATTCCTCACATATGTTACAAAATATGATAGAGATTCCTACTTCCATCCCTTTGTTTTTAGATCCATGTTTACCTTTTGGAGACAGGTTATATACCTAATAAATGTATCTCCTAGATACAGATGTCCCACTCTTTCAAAGAAAGAATTTTCTTTTCTTTTTCTTTTTGTCTCCTCACAAATTAAATTCCTGCTTTTATGATTTGAATTCACCAGTGAGTAAAAATCCTAAAACCACTTTCCTTAGTCTCACAAAGGCAGGGCATCAAGTCCCTGATCTCCTTCTCCCACATTTTCTGTGTAACTTTCATTTCTTGTAAGTAATAAATCTCTTTTTTCTGTTTCCTGAACATTATCATTGAAGGGCATCTTGCTACCATATTAGGAGCTCTAAGGGTTGGTCTGGTCATGATATCAATAGATTGAGACTAACACAAAATATACTTATATTATTGAAGGTCTGTATACTGGTGTGAGTAGTGGTTGGCACTAGTCAGGGCCAATATTATTGCCTATCCTAACAATCCTGGGAGATTGGATATCGTACTCAGATATCTTACCGCAGTGTGGGGCAAGTAACTGGTCCTAGACTAAATACCGCATTGGCCTCACTTTAAAGGCAATGCTAAAGGTGATCTGTCTTTTCCCAAGCGATTAAACTGCATCGTACAACAAAATATAATAATACTTGTAGAAATACAGTGTGATGAAGACAGATTTAATCACCATCAGATTCATACAGAACTTGGTTTTGAAGGAGTAGAAAGTACTGTACTGAAGCAATGAAGGCAGTGGGTCTACCCAAGAGTCTGCAGCCTCATTTCATCAGTGAAACAGGCGTAAGGGGGTTCTAGTGCCTTGTCTACCTTCAGAATCCCACAACTGAAAATTAAAAAATCTGTTGGCCTTGTGAAAGCAAACAATTTTCCTGGCTAAGGTAAGATTTGACACTGTAGCATCTTAGTGAATGATAACACTCAGATGAAGGTGATGAATAGTTTAGAATTCTCATAGAAGGAATTTAGGAATTATTTAAACTTTTGGAGCAAGAATATTGTATGATTAATTGTCTGTGATATTTGTAAATCCCAGGAAACACATAGAGGAGGTAGCCATTCACTATAGCCAATATAGAAATATTCTAGACAAATTATTCTTGGGTGAGTGTCTCCTAAGGTCCATTCTTTCTAGGCTGTTATCCGTCTAAACACTACAACACATTTTAACAGAATCTATTCTGGGTTAGGTGAGTGATGAATTAAATACTTAAGCATTTTTCTTGAAGAAATAGGAGCCACAAGATGAAAATATCTAAACAAAAGTTTATTGTGTAATAATCACACATTTTCACTCCCTGTGACCTTTGCTACACAGACATTCATTAGTATTTTGGGGGCAGGAAGGAGGGTGCAGCCAGATGAGGACATTTAAGAAACAAGCTATTGGTATGTGTTTATGTAGTTCAATGATGCTACTACAAGGGAATACAAAATCAGCCTCCAGGCTCAGGAAAGAGACTTTCCAATTTCATTTGCCCCCTCTGCGCTGCCGGAAATAGCGATTGTAGGCAGCGTTGTATCCATAAACCATAGCATAGCGTTCACAAAGTTTGTAGTCATCACAAGCTTCCCGACTGATCTCATAGGCTGGCTTGGTGCGTTCTCGAACCCTAGAAAATGGGACAAGAGAGGTCCAAATTGAGAAGCATGGGAGTGGAGAAATAAGATAAATAAAAACAAAGAATTAGAAAAAATTGCAGAGTCCCTCCACATCCCAATATTTAGGGATAGTTGAAGAACAGGAAAGAAAAGTGGAATAGGGAGACTTTTTTTTTTAAAATGAGCATAGAAATTTTCTTTGTTCTTCTTTCCTACCCCGTCCTTCCTCTTTCTAGAGATTAAAATAGTCTTCTAGAGATTCAGGAGGGTTACATCGTTTTTAAATTCTTAAGATTTGGGGATACAGTTAGAAATAATATAGGATGGAAAGCCAACTTTCTCACTTTGTTCAGATCTCGGCTGCTACACTGTAAAAGTACTTTCCTTCAATACCCACCTCTCTTGGGCTTTAGCTCTCCATCTCTGTTGTGGTGATATAAAGATATTTGCATTTCTCCTGTTTATAAAGGGACCTAAAATGGAAAAGAAATGTAATTACAGTTTTAGGAAAACAGTAGCTGAATATATTTCTATGAATGTTTTCTAACACAAATGCATTTGAAAGTTCAATTCATTTATTTCATTAAGTAGTTTTGCAAAAAAATTCAAAGGAGAAGAGAAAGCAGATTTTTAACTTTCTGATCAAAAGAAATAAATAACCATGTATGGATCTTTGAGCCTTAGAGACTTGTCACGTAGGCCACAATTTTTGCTTCTTTGTTACTGGTAAATGAACAGCTTCAGCATTATAAAGATAATGAACAAATTAAAAACAAGACTGTAATATTATTTCCTCCTATACTCAGCCATTGTAAGTTCAGAGATTTAGTAGCATCCAACATAATACTACATCTGTGGCCTTCCAGCACTCAACCTGTAATTCCATACTCTGACAGCTGTCATTACTCCTTGCTTTCCAGCTGTGTGGTTGATGTGGTAGCAACTTAAAATTTCCAAAGGAGATTTTATGGCTCCTAAATGTGTTGAAAGCCACTTTCAAATGCCATACTATACAAATTCAAACTTAAAAAAATTGCTCACTTGATATTTTTTATAGCTATGGATCTTTAAATTTCCAGAGGAGAACCTCTTATTTTTCTCCTGTTATGTATCACTATCTTGTCTATTTCAGAATAAGGAGATTCTTTAATACATGAGGTTAAATAAGGAAGTAAAATAATCACTTACTAATTTCATAGGATTCCATGCTTTCATGAGATTCTGGAATTAAAAGAAGATGTATATGTTGGTTATTTTTCACATACTGCAATGAATGCATTTTTCACAGACTACAATGGTCAGATTTATAGGGGAGGAAAGAGAGAAGAGAGCTGGGAAAAAGATGTAATATATTTAGTAGTATGGTTATCAAAAACTTCAGACATTTAGAATTTGAGTTATTTCTATAGCTCTGTCCTTGCTGTGACTATCTCTGCACATTAGTTTCTCATATTTATTTTTAATAATGTTTTTTATTGAAGTAACATTGCATTTTAACATTACTGTTTCAGCTGTGCGTCTCTACACTCTAGTTTTTCTGATGTTGAGGCAATCAGTGGTCACAACCTTGCCAAAATTTCCTACGGGCTGCAAGATCTTCAGGCTAGTGAAATAAAAACTCAAGTGCTGCAAGCAAGTCTAGAGGGAGCCTTCTTTGATTAATTTGGGACCCGTCTGAGAGTAAGGTGGAAAAAGGGACAGATGGGCCTAGGAAACCGTCAGATGTCTCTAGGCAGGCTGGGCAGAAGCTCAGTAGAGCTTTACCAAGACAAGTTTCCAAGAGGTTCCAAAAGCCTCTTAAGAACTGGTATGACGTTGCCAGCCACAGAAACCACTGGCTCCAGCTGACAGCTTATACTGGGCACAATGCCAGGTCAGAGGAAACTGAGATGGTGGCAAAGCAAAAGTTTTCTTCTTTCAACCACTCTCCCAAACACAGCAGGTAAATATGGTAACACAGGCTTATATTTGTAATTAAGTGAATTTGCTTATTAAAAAAGCTAAAAAGGAAGCGAAACGAGGAAATCAAATACTCTGTTACAGAGACCCCATGAATAATTTCAAGAGTAAGAAGCCAAATACATATGGCTGTTATTACAATCTAGGCTTGAGTGCAGCTAAAATGTTCAGATAACTGGAGTGTAAGACTGACTTATCTAAATTTCATTTCAGATTTCCTTTCACTAGCTTTGACAGTATATACAAATCATTCAAAATTTATTTTTTGATGGCAGAAATTATGAAACCTACTTTTCCCTGAGCTTGTATAAATCTAAAACATTACTTTTAAATTAGTTGACTGAACTAATGTAGTAAGTCCATTTGTCTAGGGACTTTGTTCTGGCCCTAACGAGAATTAGACTTGCCACTTCATGTGAAAACTGTTTGTTTTAAAGTTAAGTGATTCAAGCAATAACCTTAATGAATTGTTACCAGAGATTAAACATCCTTAAAAATGAGAACTCAGGGGTTGGGAATTTTTATATCCTTTTGAAAGAGTGAAATTTCCAGGTGACTTACCACAGAAAAGCCTTAAAAGTAGCACACAAAAGCCTGAGTATTTAGGATATAAGTAGGATTTATTGGACTAGATTAGGGAATGTGGGCTTGGGAAATGTTAAATTGATAGCACTTAAAAATTATACTAGAGAAAAATTATAATAGTGTAAAGGGGAAGAAGGAAAAATTGAAGTATTGAAGTAAGTTATAGTCAGAGGTAGAAGAGAAGAGGCAGAAAAACACAGGAGAAAGGTTTCTCACCATAACACAAGGTTGCCATAGCTAAGACAGCCAGGATGGAGAGGAGTAACAGGCTCTTCATGGTCTCTCTGTCGTTCTGTGGGTTGGTTCCACTGTCTTGAGCAGAAGTAGGGAGAGAGGCGCCTATAGGCTTTTAGTGAAAGGCTTTGGAGTTTTTATAAGAAGTAGAGCAGCTGAAAGGGGCGGAACCAGAAGGAGGGGGCCCAAGAAGGTGGGGACATTGGCACTGAACTAGCACTGGGACTTGTCCCAAATACTCATTCCTTCCAGTTAGTATCTACTCCAGGCAGACCTGACTGCGGTTCAGCAGGATGCTGGCCTGGTGCAGAAGTTGTGGCCGCCCTAGGTTTGGGGTCAGACCTGGGCAGAGATCCACAGAGAAGAGAGTTGCCACAAATACGTGTTTGTCTTTCTAATTCCTTCTCTGATCTACCCTCTTGGCCTTGACTGTGGGCCTTTCAGGTTTGATCCATAGACAGAGCTATAGTGTTCTTTTCACACCCCCAATGGACTGATGAGAAGTTCTAGGGGGAGGAAAGCCTTCATTTCCTATGCTGATTCTAATTTTGATTTATCTTCCCAGTGGGTCAAGCGATCAATTCTGAACTAACCAGGCATTACCGATATGACACACACCTTTCACTTTTGTCCAGTTGCTCAGCAGGGTAGAACTTTCCAGAGACTTGTGAGTTTTGTCTTTTCAGTTTGCTCCTCAGTAACTTGCCCATCCAGTTATGCGACTGTCGTCCAAATTTGTGCCCTAATGCTCTCGTAGGCAGTGTATCACTATCTAAAGTGCAGCAAGGATAACAGGGTACTTACCACTCATTTTCTAAAGGCATTGTCTTGATAATGAACTATTCAATATGCTGTTAGTGAGTGACAGATGAGACATAAGATACTATTTTAAGTACTGTGAGGAATCCAGAGACAAACAAGAAGCATCCCTAAGGAGGTAAGTGATAGCTTCTTATATTCACTTTGCTCTTTAGCTGACATGGATACTTAAACACAGATTTTTCACAAACATACTGTACTCTCTGTAGTCCTCAGTGCTGGAAAAGCTGTTTCTTTTCTTGTAAGAAGAGGATTACAGTTTCTATCAGCTGTGTCTCTGTTGCTTGGATCCTCAAGAGTGGTTTTGGCAGAAAATACGCTAGACTCACAGAGCAGCAGACTGTAGAGCTGAAATTGCAGGACCTCTGATTCTTGGCTGAAACAGCAAAAAGGTCAGGATGTAGTGGATGGGTCTGCTTTTAATGATTTATTCTAAGGAGCACTGATGAACAACTAGGTGGCACCTCATGCTTTTGTTTTTTTGGGGGGGCTGGACTTTCTCTTCCAATCCACAATCTTTTATGTGCTTTTATAAATATAGAAGGATTCATTCTTGGAAGAAATAGTTCAGTTGTAATCTGGAGGCTTATTGAGATCTGAGGGATAATAAAATTCAGGCTGTCTTGCCAGATTTCTTCATTTCAAGATATATAATCTTGTGATGAAATCTTAAACCAAGAAATCAGTGCATGTTCATCCCTGATAAATTCAACCTTCACAATTTCTACTCAAAAGATCAGTGGCTATTCTTCTATTTAAACTACAAATTTGGCTTCTGTGCTCTTTGTAGAAAATTTATTATCCCGATCACCATATTGTCCACAAATAATTTAAAGTGCAAACATCTGTTTATTATGTTGCTTGGTTTTGAGAAAATAGGGTGACAATTATTTTATTTCATATAGCATTTTATATGTATTCAATTTAGTTCCTAATCCTCACTTAACATAGTTAATGAAATAAGTTTAGTTCCGATGTTTCAATCCTAAAACCAGTGGACAGCCCACTACCACCTCCCCTGCCTTCTCCAGAAATCATCTGAGCTCTCTCTTTTTCAGTTATACACATGCACTTAGTCATCTACATTATCTGGGTCTTCCCCAGTTCCAGGCATCTCCTCTACTCCCATGTCTAAATAACTGTGCCCTTTCAGCCTTTTGATTTCATGGCTCTTAGGTGCTTTTTACACTCTGAGTTCAAAGTTGAAAATCTTACACTTTCATTTCCAACTTCCTTTATGTCTTTTTACAAGTCACTTTTATCATGACTTTTGCTGAATTTCTTTAACTTCTATGTATTTTTTTTTTTTGCTTGTTTTTGTTTTTTTCTTTTTTTGGTAAGGTCTCTTGGGAGCTGTCTCTTACCAGTCTATTTTTCCTCCTTTCCCCTCTTTTCCATCTATTCCTTGCTTCTCTTGTGACAAATGTCATATGAGATTCTTTAAATTATTGACAGCAGTGAGAATTCCAAGCCCTTCTTTTTCTTTTCTCCTATATCACTCTTCTTCTCAAAAATAATTTTGTATGTGCCTACTCCTCTCATATGCATTTGTGAAGAGAGCTTGGGTTATTCATGAAGCGGGATGGAGGCTCTGTATTAGAAAGGGCCAAAGATTTGTTCAGCTTTGAGAACAGAGGACAAAAACGGAGAGAGGAAAAAAGTGGAGGGGGGCAGGAAGGAATGGGAAGAACCTTGTGGATTTTGTTTGCTGAGGTTTTGGGTCGATATTGAGTTGTACAAAGAAAAGTTTAGAGGCAGCTGCAGGATGTGAGATGCATTAAACATGAGAGGTAGGAAAAGCCAAGTAAGAGTTTGCTTTGGTTATAACTTCAGTTGGCTGAGAATTTCCAGAAAATATTGCAATTGTTAATTAATTTTGACTATAAGTTGCTTTTTTCTAATTGGGGTATCATAAAGGTTAGGCTACATGAAGTTCCAATTTATATTTGGATTTTCAATAATTATGAAAATCATTTATATAGACATTTCCTCCTAGCTAAAGAGGAGGCTTCTTTTGTGGAGACAATTTTTGAAGATCCTTCCAGAAATGACAAAGTTATGATGGAGACTGATATGATTGCCAGTTTTTTCAGATTATACAGGGCTCTCATGTGAGGTTGACAGAGTGGTCTAACGCAGTGCAGAGGTAACGTGGAGCAATTTGAAATTGATTGTACCTGCCCTCGGGAGGAAAAGAATCATGATCACTCCTTCATGAGACAGAAGTCATCCTCTCATCCATTTATCTATTTATCATCATTCTGTCTGCCATCCATCCATCTGCTCAACTAATGAATGTATTGAGCACCTACGGTGTGCCATCTTTAGGCTAAAAGATATAAATGTGGACTGTACCCCAAAGACTCAGCTGTGCACTTAGATCACAAATTTAATTATTGTCTTCTCTTTTTGAAAAATTCATTTTGTCAATCACGTGCTTCAGAGAAGATCAAGTGATGCACTTCCTCTTTGGGCTAACCTTTTTAATTAGGATGCGGGAACATCTTTGTTTTCAGAGCACTTTGTGAAAAACACTAATGACAAGCTCAGATAATTATGAATTCAAGAATGAAGGAGAAGGAGGATTAACAGAGTTGCCAGAAATTGCTGTGGGGAGAAGCTTCTGCAAGATGTTTATTTGCTGGAAGATATGCCAGAAGAGTTCTCCCTTTTCTGTAGTATTTCTGTGGATAGTAATAATAAAGTTTATGCATCATATCCCCAACAGTTCTACCACCCCCTCCCTCTTTTTCTTTCCCAGACTGCTGGGAATTTTGTCTCTTTGAGGAATTTTCCTGGCATCATTCAGATTTTTTTTTTTTGGCTGTTCCATAAGATTTGGCTTTATTTACAAAATGTTGGTTTTATGAGTTCATATTATTATTTTGCTGGCAGTACTAAAACTCCTGCTTTTGCCAATAAAGGGAAAAGGCAACGGAGAGACGATTTAGGAAGCAGCCCTGGAAATGAAATAGAAATCACCTTCTAGGACATCAAAGGCCAATGCAAGAAGAAACCAGCCAGCTTCATATGATGGGCAGACCTCTTCTGTTACTTTCAGGGAAGCTGCATCTCAGATTTCTTAATTTCTTCATTGGAGTCACTGAATCCTTCAGCCTTTTGCTTATTAACTTGTCTTAAGTGAACTAAATGAAAATGTTGTGAAATTTAGGTATGTGAGGAGTATCTGTAGAACCATGGATATAAACTTTTGGGGAAAGGTGAGAAGCCTGGATATTAAATAAGCCGAGTTCCTGAATGGAAACAGCTGTAATTTTAATTTTCTTTCCAAATAGATATTTTCCTCTACCCTTTTATTTTCCATGAACACTTCCATTTTCAAGTAAAAGAGCATCTAGCAAGTTAAAACTATCCCACTACTCAAGAGATTAAATTCATCATGCATTCATTGTTTACTATATACTACTTGCTATGAGGATCACATTTTGTTCATTGTTGTTATTTACATCTCATGACAATCCTAGAAACAGCTTAATTACTCACATATTACATATAAAAAAATTAAGGGGTTATATAATTTATCCAGGGTCACACGCACAGTGACTAAATAGCAAAGACAGGATTCAAAAATGGCTGTTTGATATCAAAGAACATGACATTAACTGTTGATACAAGCCTGCTGTATTCCCTCAGTTTTTGATACTTGCTTAAGTAATTCTGTGACTATATTCACATTTTAAAATGCATGTTTAAAAAATTATCTCTTTAATATCCTTTAAAATAAGACTCTAGGAATTAAGTATTTGCATATTGCCATTTAAGCCCAAATAGTTAAATGACTTATAAAATCAGAAAAAGTGATGAATTGGGTTATTAGAACCCAAGTCTCTCATTTTTCTCTCCAGGACTTTGCATGCTGAAGTGTTGGCCCAAACAAGCTCCAACTCAAATATATTGCTTTCCAAAACCTTTCAGCTTACTCCAGGAATCATCAAGTCTCATCCCCATCTATGAACACTCATTTGCTGACAGTCATCTGACACTAACTCTGGTCTCGTACATTAAAACACTGGCTCCACAGTGTCTACAAAGCCACTTTCTACATTTCCTCAGATTCCAAGCAGAAATGGAAATCTAGGCTCAGTTGACAACATGCTGCTTCAACTTGAAGCAACATAGAGAACAGCATCTAGTCTCCTCTCTTGGCTGAAGATGAAGTTAGCAGAGGCTGGACACTTACTCCTCAGATTCTGGCTGCAGCTTCTGGGTGAGGGTAAAGTTGAAGTCAGGGGAATTTCTCCCATGGTACCATGGCCTTAGCTGGAGATGTAGGCACCCTTTAGATCTGTTTTTGTTCATGCCTTATTTCTGCCTCATCCTTGTATTCTCCTTTCATATTACCCCAAATAACCATTTTATTATAACCAAATAGCCTTCATGCACACACACACACACACACACACACAGAAATATTATTCAGCATGAATGAACCTAAATGACCTCACACTAAGTTAAATCAGCCAGACACAGAAATACAATTACTGTGTAATCTCATTTATATCTGGAATCCAGAAAAAAATCAAACTCAAACAGGGAATAGAATGGTAGTTGCCAGGGATGGCAGGGGTTGGTGGAAGAGAGAGAGGGAGGAAAGTTTGGTCAAAGGGTAAAAGTTTCAGTTATTCAATGAATAATTTCTAGGTACCTAATATGCAGCATGATATTAGTTAATATTAATAATATTAATGTAGTTAATAATACTGTATTGTATGTTTGGACTTTGCTAGGAGAGTAAATTTAAGTGTTATCACGCCAGGAAAAAAAGGTAATTATGTGAGATGGTGGATATGTCAATTATCTTGATTGCTTTAATAATCATTTCACAATGCTTTCCCATATCAAACTATCATGTTGTACATCTGAAATTTTTTTCCCAAATTTATTTATTTATTCATACAGAACTGGGGTACAAGCCAGAGTTGCAGGGGTGGTGAGAGGCTTCACCAGAGAAAGAGTGGGGAGCAAAACAGGCAGATCAACAAAGTACACTGCTGAGGGGAGCAGTGGGCGGGTCAGGAGAGGACTGCTGCACCATGTGGATCACCTCTGGGGCGGGGATGGAACTGAAGTGGCTGTGGCCAGCTTGCAGTGCTGTGT